ATGTACGGAAGGTCCCGAGTTCGAATCTCGGCTACAATAAAAAAAATAGCACTGTTCTTTAGACAGTGTGCTTGGCACTTTGAAGAACAAGTTTCAGATCTTTAAAAACCGAGTCCCCATCATGTCATAGAAGACTTTGACACTACACATATAAATATCCCTAACTACCTAATGGGTGTAGTGTGAAGGTCAAGGTTTGAAGCCCTTCACTGGTACATGGTGACATCTCATCTGAGTGAAAAATTATGAAATCAACATGAAACATAAACATTTCATTTAGGATGCACTGTTTTAATTAAAGCTGCCACCTATAACGATGAACTACGTAGTAAAACAACTGCTTTCACCTAGTAGTGTTTCAAGGGCAATAAAAATACATGTTACAAAAATAGCTTCCCCGAAATGCATTTATATATATATATATATATATATATATATATATATATATATATATATATATATATATATATATATATATATATATCCAAAATTTAAATAGTGTCTCAGTAATCGGATAACAATATTAAAAAATGGTAAAAAGAAAACACAAAAATCCTCAGTAAAGCTTTAGCGCTTTCATTTCAATCTTCAGAAGCTTATAATAGTATCATAGTAACAGTGATTATGACGTCATGTTAAGCGGAACGTTAAATGTTTATTATGACGTCATAGATACAATATGACAAAAGTACCGGGAAATCACAAGTAATTTATAAAACACTATTAAGTTTTGGCTGAAAAATACTAATAAAATGTTTTTCTTTTTCCGTCTCTGGATATCAGTGGCACAACTGAGTTTATAGAAAGGGAAAATTCTGAATTGTTTTTTACCACACACCTCCAGGTGCGAACTTAATTGAATTTGTCTGTATTCGGGTGTACTAATGTGTTGCTTATGTACACGTATGAATGTGTACATAAGCAACACATTAGTACACCCGAATACAGACAAATTCAATTAAGTTCGCACCTGGAGGCGTGTGGTAAAAAACAATTCAGAATTTTCCCTTTCTATAAACTCATTGTGCCACTGATATCCAGAGACGGGAAAAAGAAAAACATTTTATTAGTATTTTTCAGCCAAAACTTAATAGTGTTTTATAAATTACTTGTGATTTCCCCGTACTTTTGTCATATTGTATCTATGACGTCATAATAAACATTTAACGTTCCGCTTAACATGACGTCATAATCACTGTTACTATGATACTATTATAAGCTTCTGAAGATTGAAAATGAAAGCGCTAAAGCTTTACTGAGGATTTTTGTGTTTTCTTTTTACCATTTTTTAATATATATATATATATATATATATATATATATATATATATATATATATATATATATATATATATATATATATATATATTACACCCTAGTTTTATATTTTCAAAAAGTAGATATCCAAGCCTCCTCCAGTCTGTAATCCCTTCAATTTTTTAGCAATCAAACTACCTAATTACTCTCCTTTCTAACATTTTATTTCACAAAATACACACACAAAAAAGAGTTAAATTCTCTGTTTATAAAATATTACCCAGTTCAAATCTGAAAACATTCTATACAGGATATACTGAGCTGGAAAATATCCCCCCTCCGGCCAAGCTAACTGTTCAGTAAATTGTCATTAAAATTAAAGGATTATTATAAATGTACAAAAAGTAATAAAAAAAATACATTTAGCAAAGTTATATAAAAATGAAAACAATGATAGATGTAGTTTCCTTGAAATATCTATTGTATGACTTACATTATTGTTAATAGTAAGAATTTATAGCAAATGTGCAGACTCTACATACAAGAATACTAAGTATAATCAATATTTAATGATTGAATCCATTGATGCTTCTATGATATCTGTTATGAATTCTCTTCATAACGATTCATTTATATTACATTCTGTACTGATACACTTTGACAATTCCTTCCAAGTATCCTACCCACAGTGTAGACTTGTACAGTGACAGTGTGATTGGATAGTTCACTTCAATTTTCTGTCAGCACAGAATTCAAAAACTCCCCGTCAGGACTCGGCAGATGGATCTGTTTGTTACGTGTGTCATTAACAAGGATATTACAGAGGGAGTCACAGGCTACATCAGATGGACAAAAACTCTCTGTCAGGTCCTGTCCACGGTAGACAGACTTGATACGAACAGAGGGAGACATTATCAAAACATTACCTGTAGTGCTACTTGTACGGTTCACAACACAGGTATCACTGTTGCTGTTCTGTGTGACTATGTCTGGCAATGTAAACAGTCTGGTCTGACCGTCCTCCTGGTACTCATACTCATGGATGACATCACCTGTCATTGTGACGTGTCTCACCAGACGTCTGCTGTGTGACTTTAATTGTATGGATGTGTTAAATTGTCTCTCAAGGTGACCAGTAGTCCACCGTCCATTGACTGACAGATTCCTATTGGTGACAGTGGATCTGTACTGATGACTTTAGAGACAGATCCTGATGGTGAAAGACAATTGATGGAATTGTTGCTAAATTCTGTGAAATAAACATCACCAGTATCTGTCACACACATGTCGTTAGCAGTGATATTATATTTATGTTTTTTCTCGCCTTCTTTGTTTACTTGTTCAGTGTAAGATGACTGTTCTTCTTTTATGTAACACTGATCTTCACACAATGCCTTCAATACAGCTATCAATTTATCTCCATATTTAAATGAGTTTGTTTCAGTCAGACTGATATTGTTCAAATCTAGAATTTTTCCAATCATAGTCTCCATCACCTCCTCACTGATTTCTCCTTTACTGTATCTCACTGAATGTTTACAGTCCTTCCTGTATGAATTTTAAAGGCGGATTCCGCCTGGAATTTGGGTGGAATTGAGCAGGAATTGGCAAATTCCGGGCGTACTTGAGGCGGAGACGGAATTTTCAAAGAGTTACGCCTCAGTAGAAGAGACGTCTTACAGGCGTCATTTGTATTTTCCGGGCGTCAATTGGCAAGTTCAGATTTTCCGGGCGTAAAATGGCAGGAAAATATAAACAAAAATTACGCCTGGAACTTTCAGGAGAAGTAAAAGCCTCTGATTGGTCAATTTAATTATCAATTAAGGGTCATTTCAGATAAGAGGTTAAGTTTGAATTTGATCATGAAGGAGGGAGTTTAGTGTGAGTGAAACAGGAAATGCAGATATCTCAATGTTAAGGCTTTTACACTTCTTGAGGATGACACAGTGTCTGCTGGTAGGTGTGATCATGAATATCTAGTCCCTATTTGAGTAAATTTGATTATGATTATGTACAATGATAGTTATAACTGGCTGACCCTAAAATTACTTTAGATATAATTTGAGTTTGTCCTTGAACACATTCTGAGAAATATCAGTCTGATAGAGGATGCAGTGAGAATCTAACTGTAAACTGCTGAGTAAATGAAGAATTGTATTCAGTCAGTACTAAAATGTTTCAATATAATTATTGAAGTGATAAAATGTACAGGTATTGTAAAAAAGTTTAATTCTAAATACAGTGTCACTCAATCATGGTGGTCTAGTTTGGTGTCTCTAATACACAAATTCTACACTTGTTAATGATATATGTTAATGACCTGTCATTATGTTTTCTTACAGTTCAAAAAGCTAAATATTTAGCTTTAACATTGTAAATCATAATCTGAATGTTTTTCTTTGTTAACATGGTAATTATATAGGTTTTTAGGTCACATAGTATTATATAATAATAAGGACATTCCAGGCGTAATTCTATTCCAGGCGTCATTTTAGTTTCCAGGCGTAATTTTTTTACGGGTGTCCTTTATTTTTCCGGGCGTAGCTCATTTGCATTTTTCGCCTCAAATTCCTGCCCATTTACGCTTGGTTTCCGCCTAAGTTACACCCGGAACCTGTGTATCACCATATATGTAGAGAGACAAACTGACGCCTCTCCAAGTACGCCTCAATTTCCCCTATATTCCAGGCGGAACATTTCGTACAGGTTTATATCATTAACATCATCAAGACCAGCCAGTATTTTTCTCAGTTCCCTGTGGTTGTCAATCAAGCCGTAATCCGACATGGTACTCTTGTTATCCTCCATAAATTTTACCATCTCTTTAAGTTCCTTTTTCTTTTTGTTTAGCTCAGATTTCACTTTATTCAACTTTTTATTTTTCACCTCCAAATTATCTATCAGTCTTTGTTCATTATTTTTCCTTATTTCTGTTAACATGGCTATTATTTCTTCATATTGCTTCTGAAGCTTTTCAATCTCAGCATCACACAAATCTCCATTTTCTGTGATCTGTCGTGGAATTTTCTCTATTTTCTCATCAATTCCAGGCAGATCCTCCTTGATTTTGGTTAGAAAATCAAACAGACCTCTTCTCCTTTGGGTAGCTGCCGTGGGTATAGTGCTCCATTCATGTTCCTTATGATTTGTTTTAGCACACTTACCACAGATGAATTTATCACAGTCCTCACATATCATATCAATACGTAAATCGTGAGTTTTACACATTTCAATATGCTCTTGAGGAGAGCCCAGTGGATATTTTGGTTTACTAGCTGCCATTTTTGTATATATTTTTTTCTACCAACGACCTAGATTTAATGTAAATGTAAGATTCTTTGTAAAGTGGTCTGGACTTTAAACTGATCGATACGTCATTATCGATCGCCTGAAGTTGAACTAAAAATAGAATTCCCTATGTGTAGTTAAGCAATTAGGTCGATTATTTAATAATTTTATGCAAGTTTTATGTATTCGTTCGTTCTGCAGAGTTAAAAGGATAAAAAATATTTCACTTTAATTAAAGCAAAGATCGAGTTATACATGTATATATAATGAATATTACTTTCTCTATTCATTTATGTATAATCTTTAAAATGACGAGTACATACCTGTATACATACATTTCCTTTGAATTTTTTTTTCTAAAAAAAAAGTAGAGGTACACATGTACTGTAAGCAATGAGCTCACAAAATGATACCCCCGCCTTCTATATGAATTTAATAGCAGTGTCCATGTTTTGCTATGGGATACCCAAAATATGTTTCGGATCAAAAAAATAAAATAGGAGATGCAAAATGCCAATATGTAATAAAGATTCCCTGAGAGTTTCATTAAATTTAATTCGGTGGTGTAAGAGTTGTACGGACAAGAGATGGGTACCCCAAAGCGTAACAGACAGACGGACGGTCGGAAATCCCGATTTGTATATACCCTCCCGCTTTTCAAGCATGGGGAATAAATATGTTATCTATAATGTTATAATATATATCTGAAAAAAAGAAGAATATTGCAATATTTTTTGCTGAGTAGACGAGGATGAAGTATGTATAAAATACTTGAATTCCAACTGTATATTGTAAATATGTCTTGATATAAATATCTAGTGTTGAATCGAACCGCATGTCCTATAGTGGCTTTCATAGATATGACCTGACCCACTATACTAGCAATTGATTTCACCAGAAAGCATACGTACCCAGATTGAGTCTTAAATAAAATTTCCTCCATACACTTGAGAAGCTTATATTAATTCTCTCTGAGGTTACTTTTAAGACACCGTCAACCGTATCCCATTTAAAACCTAACCATACTATATTTTGCTGTGAGTACCAGACACTTTTGGAATCTGCAATAATAAATCCCAACTCTGTTAAGTCTCTTTTGATAATATCGCTAAGTAGAAACGCGTCATCAAATTTACTACATCCAGCTAAACCATCGTCCAAATACATGACAACCTGAAAACTCAGGGATCTCGAGTACTGAACTACTTTTCTCATAAGTTTTGTAAAAATAAGAGCTGCTGAAGAAATGCCGAATGGTAATATATTGAAAACAAAATATTTGATAGCACCATTGATTTCCCATTGAAAACCTAGATATTATCTATGCTGTTCAAATATTTCAATGATGATACGCTGATTTTAAATCGAAGCTAAATAAAAAATCCCCTTTTTGAAAAATTTCTCTTGCAACTTTAACATCTTCCAACATCTTCCATTCTGAACAAAAAATCGTGAATACAAGCATTGATATGCCTACAGTCTAACACTAAGCGAGGTTTACCTGCTTTGTTGAAAGCAAGAGTCAAAGGATTAACAACAAAAGGAGCATTCCTTACCTGTGTTACGCAACCTTTGTCAATGAGCTTTTGAATCTCGGAATAAACAATTCTAACATTATCCCTAGCAGATTTGTTATTGTCCAAACAAACACTCTCTGGAATAGTTTTAAATGGAATCTTGTATCCGTTTACTATTACATCTAAAATGTACTTATCAGTCTTTATTTCTACCCATTTCGTCAAATGGACATTTTCATCTACTGTGGCCACAAAACGGCGTATATTCGTTTTTCTATCTAAAACACTAATCTTAGATAAAACACTTTCTTGATTACTGCATATATTTTGAGCAATACTATCTAAATTACTTAACTTAGAGCTTGTATCTTTGCTGTTGCTGGTGCATTCCTTTGCCCAATGACCGGCGAAACCGCATTTAAAGCGTGTCCCAGACTTTTTGCTGCCCTCGTATGACGTGGTCTGATTTTGTGCGCTGTTGGACTTCTCCGGGTATGGGTTGATGCATCTGGCCGCTCTCGCCTTTTTGATCCGCTCCTCTTTTAACTTCTTTTCGGCCCTTATTTCTGCTTTCAAAATTCGTTTTTCATCCTCCTCGTCAGACGCTAATTCGTGCTGCGTGTATTCTTGAACGGTGCGCCATCCTGTCTTGGATGAGTCTGCTTATTTAATTAATTTTTGTCGCTGATGAATAAGCTCTATACCTGAGGAAATGCAATTAAAGGCTACTACTGGCTCCCCTTCGCTCAGACCCGTGTTGGCCTCTACCAGCTTGTCTCTAATGTTGTTGTTAAATTTGTATTGAGCCTCATTTCGCTTTCGTTTAAAGAAAAAAGCCTTGTCATTTGCTGTTTGAAGTTTTGGAAGCTGTTGCTCATGCTGTTGTCTTTGCCGTTTCGTTATTTTCTGCTCGAATGATGATAATTTGGAGTCCATTATCTCCGAAACTCGTTGTAATAGCTCGTCGTTCGCCATGCTGCCCGAGAAAAATAGTGCACCGTGCACTGAGTAAGACTGGCTTAGAATGACCTTAACTTTACGCCACTGACCCTTTATACTGGCCTTCCTATGGCCCGTCTTGTATCAATACGCATAGCCATTCAAACACGTTGCTATCATACAACGTTTTCCCGCTATTCTCCGAAACGCGGGAAAACTCTAGTATATGGCCAGAATGACGAGTTCAATTCTCAATCTGGCCTGAAAGTTGAACCTATAAACCATGAAGTTTACATTTTTCTTTCTAATAAATAATCAGTTTGTCCCCTACTTTTAAATAGGATTTTTTAAAAAGAAATTCCTTTACTCCTCGGTACTGTTAACAAAAGTGGCTGAAATGTGTTTTGCTGTTTTTGAGAGGAAAATCAAACGTTGAAAGATAATAGATTGACAGCAGGGAACTCTCGATGACGGTGAAAAACATATAACACTTTATAACATCAGTGGTCAAAGAGACCCGAAGTCAAATATCAACATTTGTCAATAGACTCTGGTGACCAAAAAGGCACATTTTCTCCTCATTTTTTTTACATTGCGCAATGCATTATTCAATCAAGTAAAAAAATTCAAACATAATCAAATGCATATACCTGCCTCTTTTATAACTTCTGGACTTTTGTAGACTGTAAATCATATATTTTTAGGTCTGAAGCTCCATTTCAGCTCTTTAAATCTTACATGAAGTCATTGTTATCTATCGGTATGTTTTTGTGCTCTAAAACCTAATACAATTTAGTAGCAATCCGATTTGCACCTAACTTACCGACAAAATATTTTGAAATGAAGAAATTCGTCCTTGAATATAATGGTCTTTTTTCTCTGTTAATACGGAAATTAAATTTACAAAATTTAAAAATACTGTGTTAATCATTTCCATAGCTCAGTTTTCATTTTTGTACATATTCTTATTAAAACCATGAATAATTCATATTTTTGTCTGGGTAGGGGTTGATAAATAAGGGTTAATTAAAGGCTTCAATCTCTCTGATATCAATGTTTTCACCGAGAAACAAATTCGATTTTTTTCTGTTAGTAACTTTGAACTTGGATTGATATCATAAATCATATTAAATATTTTAGAGAGACTGAGGTTAGATCTTTTTTTATAAACATATTTTTTGCTTAGGGTCTTTTCAATGTAATTTGTGTCCTACTCAATTCGCTATTATTCTCAATCAGTTGATATATAGAATGATGAGGTTTGGAAATGACGTCAAGTTGATGAATGTGTTACGAATTTGGCATTCTCCACTATGGTTATGAATAAATAAACAAGATGTTTCTTGCGATATGCATCGTTAAAATAATGATTCTATGAATGATTTAATGAATGATATGTATTGACATTTATTCTTTATTACTTGTTGTTATTGATTAATGTTATTTGGAATTTATTACGATCTGGGTGCAAATTGTTCACCTCGTTCCGAATTTCCTTCATGTTTTGAGGAATACGCAACGTAAATAAATCATTGACTGCATCATAAATGCAATTACATAGTACCTAATGTGCTTACCTCTGATAATTTGGATAAATAATAAATCCATTCACTGATAATTAGAGTAAAACCTTGTAATCACAATTTGTTTTTCATACTAAGCGGCAAAAGCTATAAAGTACATTCGGAACACCTCTAATGAGTATAATAGTTAAGTGCATCCGAAGTTTTCCAGCTATTTGACGTTATGGCGCCAAATCTCATGCATTGAGTGATTGACGTCACCAAGGTTGTAAAGGCTTTATATACGAGCCCCCAGCGTCTAACGGTCAGACGCCTGCGGTCTCACCCACGGAAAGGTCTACCTGACAGTTAATGTAACTGAGAATGAAAATATTACTGTCCCATGGTTACATCTTGATGTTAGTGAGATTACTGGAACAAAGCTAAGGAGTCTTTCAGATTACAGATATTTCAAACATGATGAAAGTTTTGTTTGTTCATTATCAAACTTTATAATATATTCCATTAATTTGAAAATTTATGATTTTATGTTGCCATTTGTATCCTTGGTTTGAGTTTCAAAGATATAACTTGTTTGAAAAAAAAGAAAATATCTGCTATAAATATATTAGAAATATATATTTTTTAAATGTAATGAATATTTCTCTTGGGTTAAGTACTTTGACTCACTGAGAAAAAGTTTGTATCCCATGGGTACTTAATGCTAAAAATGATTATTTCCCATGGTTTTATCAATGAAAAAACTCATTGTCCCATGTCTGTTTGTACCGGCCCCATGATTGTGATAAGTTTTGCCTGGTCCCTAAAATAACTACTGTCACCTAGTAGTGTTTCAAGGGCAATAACAATTACAAATCAGGATTGCCAAATATGCATTAATTTTGAAATATTTCCATTTCTAATTTTTTGCTCTGTGATCCTCTTTGAAAGTTACCGGTGTTGATTTCTTGATAATTCTACCGGAATGTAAATTAGGCAGGTCGATAGGCCAGGAGCTAAGGAGGCCTGCTATCAG